TTCTATGTTTCTGGGAGGCAGTGAAAATCTTCATGAGGTTACTATAACAGAGAAGAAGATCAGGGGAGAGGCTGAACAAGCTACCAGAGCTCCTCCTAATTCACTATAACCCCAGTGTACTTCACAGTCACAAGGAGCTATTTTTCCAGACTGTTCCTTGAACACCTAGTGAAGAAACAGAGCTGAAATCTCATCCAATGGGTTCTGGTAAAAGGTGCAGCCTCTTTCAGTTTCATTTCCAGTTTGCCTTATCAGGTATTTGCAAAGCCCTGCGGTGTGAAGGCACTGCAGGGCCTTTCCTTTCACTCTGACCTCTCAAGGAGCAAAGTTAAAAGCTTTGCTGTGGGACAGGGCAGGCACATCCAGAAGGTGACAAGCTTCCCTGGCTCCTCAGCCAGCTGACAGTGCTTCAGCCTGGGGATTCCCACACCCGGTGGAGCAGGAACAGAGCTTCACACCCATTCCTCCAGCTCCAACAAAGACGTTCACAGAAAACCTGAGCTCCAAAAGGACCAAAGATACATGTGAGTTCAGATCACATTTGTGAATTACTCTGAAAGAGCATAGGAATAATTTTCTTTTAAATGCTGAAGCATTTCATTCAGGCATTTTCAATAGAGAAATTCTCAATTTTCCCTTTTAAAACGGCATTTTTTCATTGAAGTAAAAAAAACAACATGGATTTAAGCTAAGCATAAATATAAAAGATGCAACCACTGTTTACAGAAGGAAGGGCCAGATCTCACAAAATGCTTTATGTTGGCCCCATATTTAGCCTCAAGACTGAAAAAGTGGAACACAAATTCATTCTGCTATTCATCCAAGTCTTGTCACAAGATTTAAAGGAAAGGAAATGCCTGAGGTACTGGCCCTTCCCCATCTCCATAACCCTGTGGCTGTTGTGAGAGTTTCCTGTAGTCCTTCCCATGGCTTCTCTAGAGGTCAGAGCAGACCAGCACTCACCCAACACTTCATGTGTTCACCTGCAGTGCACAGACTTGCAAGACAAAGGCACAAGACAGTAAAGTTCTGCATTTTCTTTAAACAAAAGTGAGTCTATATCTCATTGCTTTGCAGTTTGTGCCCAGCATTTACCACAGGGCACTAAGCAGAGGGTGATGACCACAGAGTTCCTGCACTGGTTAACAAGCCATTGAGAACTGCAAGTGTCTGAACAAACCTGTCTCCAAGCTCTAAGGGCAAGGAGCAAGGCAACAACAGGCATTTACTGGCTAGAGAAGAGGGATTTTAATGCCCTCCCAGACAGATGGATATCCAACATAAATTCAGACAGACGAGAAGAAAACACTGGTGTGTAGAGTACCTGGGGTTACGCCTGTAACAGGCCAGAAAGACATGTCTGGCCAGAAAGGCACGCCAAGCTTGCTTTCAAACACAAATGCAAATTTTACTTTCCCATCCTACCTCAGTGCCTCTGCATGCTATATTCCTACTCACAAAATGAAATGCCATTTGTGCATGGTTGGATCTTGCACCTCTATCTCTGCATTGCAACACCTGCAGAAATGCAAAGGTCCAGGGGTGGTCACTCAAGAAAGAATGCAGCTTCCAGAAGGGGACAGCATAAGAAACAGGGCATGTGTAAAATCACTCTGGTAGTCCTATCTCCATGAATCACAGGTTTAAGGATTCAGGGATATAAACTGCATCCAGACAACCCACCTGTGGACCCACCCTCCATGAGCTGCCTAATTACTAGGACACCCACAGCACCCTCAGCAGTGGATTAAAAACATTCACCTACACCGGGTAGAAAAGTATTCCCTTTTGTTTATTATACATTTAGTGCCTAAAAATGTTGCAGGATGTACCCTGACTTTTCTTGTAGCAACCAATCTTTATAGTGTTCATGATTTCATGCATTTGTATCACTTCCCCTGCAGTCACCTCTTTCCAAGCAGAAAAGTCCATATACTCAGGACTTTCTAAACAAGATGCCATTCCATTGCCATTTTCTACTATCATACTAAAGTTCACTACAAGAAAAATTAACAAAGAAATACCACATGGACTTTTTTTTCCCTGTACAATGCTGCCTTGAACAACAAGAATAATTTATTTGTCATTTTCTCTCCTCTCATCTGTTCTAATCTGCTGTCCCTCTTGTCTTTCAGAGCTAAATGCCTAGGGACAAAGTTCATTGTCTTTGTTAGGCCAACACACAGCTGTAAAATGGAAAATAATGTAAAAAGTGGAAAATAAGCAGTCGTTCTTTGAACTACAGATAGTAAATTCTGTGCAGCAATGAAAACATCTTTTGCAGACCCACTTTAACAATTAACAGCATTGAGACTGTTGATGAGGTCGATATTCAGAAGAGCTGAGAGTTCATTTCCAAACACTAGGAAGGTGTCAGCAGCTGCAGTCACAGCAACTAATATTTCCATCCAAGCTTCTAGATCAGTGACTATTTATCAAATGTCTTGCTAAGTGGAATCAGTGCTTGCCAACTCCTTTTCTATTTGGGCCAAATACATTTTTGGAGCCACTGTGCTCAATGGGATTCTTTTGATCTTTCTCCAGGGTTTCAGATTGTGCCCACAAGTACTAATTTGTCTCCCCTTACTGATGAGTAGCACAGGCAGGAGGGAAGCAGAGCCTTTACTATGCAGGCACCAATTCTGTACTCAGAGCTTTGCAAGCAGAGCCATGTACTGTCACGAAAATAATACTGATAACACTGAGGCAGCAGTAGGATCAAGGTGTTGCAACACTTCCAGGCATGAAAGACTACAGCAATATGTCCTTGGGGACACTAATAATTTTCTTCTCTGTACTCTCTCCCCACTCTTTGACTATGTTGAGACAGCCATTCTTTGTGACATGTTTCTCTGCTGCACCCACATGTCAGGGAGTAGAATTTAGTCTTTTCTAAGAAGTCTTTTTTTAAAAACATATCCCAAAGTAGCAGCTGGGCAGAAAAGCTGTCTTTCTCAGTAAGAACTGAAGTCAGCTTTGGTAAACACTCTTCCCTGAAACTTCCCTGGAAATCTGCAAGAGCAAACAATTGAAACAACCCTCTTGGTATTATATACATGGCACCTTCCATTCCGCTCTCAAAACACAGAAAAAAGGTTCCAAACATAATTCTATCAGTCCAAACTGGAGGAAACAATTGCACAGAGAGTTTAAAGGACCTGTTGAAAGTTTGTCACTTCCGAGTCGGAATAAGTTATATTCTTGGTTTGTAACCCAGCAAACCCTTATTTCTTGACTTGTAACCCAGTGTTAAACAACTCTTTCCCAGAGACTGGATGACAGAGGAATTTTAAGTAAGGGTTCCCTGACAAAAGAATCCTTTCATCAGCACTGGATCTACAACAGGAGAATAGGGTAAGGCTGACAGCACTAGTTAAATGTAATAACACCAGCAAGGGTTCATACTATGACCACAGAAAAAAAAAATTAATTGTAAGAATGCACACTCAACCTTGTAAAATTCTAACCACCAATACAGCAGACAGTCTCCAAATTGTCAATAAGCAGCACTATTGTGAGCAGAGCTCCCCTGGGACCATCGTGAGTGCTTTGAAAACTGGCACTTGTGAAGTACGTGCATCAGAGAGAGTTCTGAGATCAGCTTCCCTGAAATCAGCTCCCATATTTACTGACCTTCAAGAGCAAAATAGGAACTCCAGTTGTTTACACAAGCTTTATTAGAGGGAATTGGATATGCAGGGTTGTCTTAGGGTGTAACCAGAAAAGTTACATCTATATAGGGACTTAAGGTGTGGAGATTGCATTGCCATCTGTAAATTCATTACTGTGCATATTCTATTTGCAAATGTAATGACAGGTACACCTTTCTAAATACAGAGGACTAACACATAATTTAGCATTCTGGCTAAACTACTGAGAAGAAACAACATAGCTCTGCCTTTGAGGATAGAGACAAACAACAGCACTTGGCCTCCGCTGAAGGAGTTGAGAGACTCCTGTTCGGCTGCACTGCCAGTAACTGGTATTACAGGTGCACACAATGGGCAAACTGTGCAATACAATTCTGAATTATCAAGCAGTGAGACGGCTTCTCCATTAAGAGGCATCACTGACCATCTCACTGCTTGTGAGCCCGCAGTCCTCCTTGGGGAAAATCCAGCCATTGTTCTCAAGATATTGGTCATCACACTTAGCATAAGAGAGTATCTACAGAAACCCTTACTGATCCCAGCAAACCCCCGCCAAGCGCAGCCCTGGAGAGTCAAAGAGCCTCCCTCCTTTCCAAGCTCAAACAAGTCGCTGCTGCTGCCGCTGCCCAGCCGCGGGGCTGGGTCACCCATCCCGGTGACCAGCGGGCGAGGGACACAACCAGACCCACACAGTCTCTCACAGGCACGACACTCGACGGAGAGCTGGAGCCAAATTCCTACAACCCCTGTGAGACCCGACAGTGGAGCAAAGGCGCCCGACCTGGAGGCAAGGCTGCTGTCCAAGCTCTCCACTTACCTGGCGCCAGGGAATACCCCTGGGGAAAGGCTCTTCCCAGCGATCCTGTCACAGGAAAACCCACTGCTCAACTCTGACCCTCTCTGCACCAGTCAGCCAAAAGACAGAGATCCATCTGAAACCACATTCGATCCTTCTCCGGGCACTGGAGCCGACTTGAACCTCAGCTCCTCAAGTTACAGGAAGGCTTTATGAAACCTCCCTGTAAAACAGCCTTGTTTTCCTGGTTGGCCACGAAACACCGCCGGCGTGACCCGAGCTCACCCCGGGGGTCGGAAAACAGAAAATAGAATATATAACTTTCATTTCCTCAAAAAAATAAGGTGCAAACCTTGCGGAAACCCGCCTGGAAATGGCATTTCAGCCTCTCGGCGCAGCCGGTGCTGAGGGAAGCGGGGCAGCCCGGGTGTGCCCGGCCTCCTCCGAGCCCTGACAACGCGCCCGTCGAGGGCTCCGCGGCCCCGGGGAGCACCGGGGGCGAAGGCGGGGGCGGCGGGGCAGGGCGGCTGGAGCCGGTGGGGTCGGACACTTACCATGGTGCGGAGCGCAGGCTGGGAGCCGGCGCGGCCCCGGCCCGGCCCGGGTGGCTCCCGGGCGCTCCCTCCGCCCTCCCCGCCCCGCGCCAGGTGAGGCCCGGCCGCATCGCGCCTTCCCACAATGCCCCGAACGGGAACTCCCCGGGCGCCTCCTCCCGTTCCCCTGGGGCGAAGGGCAGCGCTGGGCTGAGGGCCGCACAGCTGGGCGGCCCTGTGCCAGGGCAGCGTGGGCTCCCCGGCACCACCGTGCCCACGGCGCCCGGCTCTGGGCGGTGACGGGCCGGGGGTACCGAGCCCCCGCCCGCTGTCCCCTTGTACGTTCAGGACTGCTCCAAGGGCACCCTCCTCACCATGGCACCCTTCTCACCACAGCACCCGAGATTAATAAAAACGCAGTTCTTGCGGTCCACCGGCACTACTCCCTGTCAGGCATTCATACCCTGAAGACACTGGTAGATCTGCAGGTACGATTGCTCTGCAGCCCATCTCCCAGAGCAATCCCATCTCCATCAAAATGAAACTCGGATAGTTTAAATACCTTAAATGGCTGGGATTTGCTAACCCTGTGCTTTTCGATGGAGCTGGATGAGAGGGCAAGGCATCAGCAAATCCCTGTAACCTCTGGCAGGGATTTACTGATAAGGAGCTGGTGCCAAAAGAATGTGCAACATCCACAGACTCAGCACTTGAATCGAAACCTCTAAATCCAGGCCTAAGGCTTCTCAAGCTTGTACGAGGAGTCTCATCCAGATGCAAACGTCTACGGGCATAAAATGAGAGGGGTTAGGATGCTTAAGTCCCGTGTTTGTAATCTAAAGGAGAGACATCCCCCCAGCACAGCATACATCTAGCCCCAAGCACAGTGTGTCTGGATTCAGGATACGGATCACATCTGCTCAGGGAAGAGCTGTGCCCTGCTCTTGGGTGCAGTGCTAGATGCATCTGAGTCATCAGTGAAAATAGGAAAGAAATCCAAAAGGGCTTGGGGACTTAAGGGACACTGTAATGTCAGTGACAATCCCTCTTCAGCCTCTGGCTTCAGCAAAGGGGAGAGATCCTTGGCCAAAAGCAATTCTGCATGTATAGCTGAGAGGGCAACCGGGCTTAAATCTGCTACCAGCTAGAAATGCCTATTTGCAAGAGCAGAGAGCAAATGCACGTGTGTGCTCCTTATCCTCATTTAACAGTATCGAAGTAATTTCCACATTTCCCTAAGCATGCATGACCCTATTCCTCTTGGCCTTCCATAAGCTTTGATTTGGTCTATTCTTCACAGAGTCCTTCACTGCTGTTTCCTCAGTTCTGGTTTCTGCATGTTCCAGCCCCATCCCACCAAGCAGCACATCACATGCTGTGCTGTGGCACTCCCAGCTGCTGGGTGCTCTGGTTTCATTTGTGCACGACACAACAAGTACAAGTCCCAGCTGCCTACAGATCTCACTGATCTGTTCACTTGCCCCTGGCCTCTGTCTTCCTGAGTACACATAAAGCAGTACTATCTACAGACCCCAGGAACTTGCTTGCCCTTTTTTGCCCAGCTGTGCAGCACACACCGTGCAGCACACACCATGCCATGCTGCCAGACTGCACTGTCTCACTTGTTTTACTGGGGCACCATCTTGCCTTCAGTGAGCCTGCCAAAGACACACTTACTGCAATCAGCATCTGTTAAAACAGACCACAGTCTTTCAGGTTCTCTGGAAGACAGCTGGGATGAGTAAATAGGCCACACTAAGTGCCACAGTGCTCACACTGCCTTTCTCAGGAGGTAAACATCTGCCTTCCCCACAACCCTGTTCAAGCTCCTGCCCCTTGCAGTCCCCAGCTCTACCTACTGTGGCCTATGCAGAAGAACAGAGAGCTGTCTGCACTTGCACCCAAACACGCTGTTGGTGAACGGGGAGTGTTCACAGATAGCACTGCAGCACTGGGAAAGCCAAGTGTCTGTGAACACTCAGAACTGGATTTGCCTTACATGCAAGAATGTGGACACCACAGTACAGCTGTACTACAGGAGTGGGACATCAACACTTTCATCTCCAAAATGAATTTGAAATTAAGGGATGAACATACCCCTCAGTCCCTACCTATGTAATTTACTCAGGTGATGGACAGTAATTTATTTTTTTTTTTTGCTTAACAACTGTTTCCCAATAATCTTGCTTTTCTGTGAAAAGATCTTCCCTAATTAGGCCCATAGGCTCAAGACAACCAGCCTGCTGCTTTTGTGGTTTTTTGCAAGTAATCAGAAAAAAAGCAGCAGCAAATACATCATGTATACAGTGCACATGAACAGCAGTGGCCAAAATCAACCTATTATGGCCAATCTTGGAGGTTGGCAGAGAGAAGAAGCCCTGCAGAAACAAGGCTGTAGATATAGAATCGTGCCTAAATTAGATGCTTTCCAGCTCAGAAAGCCAGGCTGCACTTAATGACTGCCTAAATAGCCGTGGTAAGGACTTGGAATTCTCCCCTCCCTGCCTCTCTGGACTAGCACAGTGTACCTCCATAATGTTCTGATAAGGAAGATAAGCATCTTCTAATGGTTCCTACTTGGGAGGTTTGAGCTGCCAGTGTCACTCAGCAATGGGAGCAGGGGGAGGCACCTGTAGCACACAGGGTTGTGCCAGGTGTATGGATGGGGTGAACTCATTCCAGTAAAATGCCAGAGGATGGACTCCATCCAGTTCTTCCTTAGCCCCAGTTAATTAATTTGAATATGAAAGCTTGCAAAGGAATGCAAATTTATCTCTCTAACTCAAAACTTCTGCAAAAGGCAGTTTTGACACCCTTCTCTTTTGGCTTCTGCCTCTGCCTGGAAGAAAATGTTCATACTCCTTTCTTAAGGGCCCTTTGAAATAGGCTTTTAAGACAGACAAGTAGCTTTTTTACTGCTACTGGATATTGTCTCCTCTCTGCTTATATTCCACTCTTCTAGCAGCCTGTAGCATTCAGAAGCAGAAAATGTTCACACCAAAAGTTACAATGGATTAAATTATTATTAATGGGCCTTATGTGCCTACACCTGCTATAAGAGCTGCTCTAGCTCCTAGGTATCAGTTTGGGTGAGTTTGTTCATTATTTACTTGAAAAAAAGTCAGTGCTGAAACGTCCAATGCCTAAATCTGCAACAGGCTTTGTCTTAGGCCCTCTTAATCTCTGCAAGCTTTATGCACTGCAGAAGCTAATCCTGGACCATATAAATAAAGCTGTATATTCACCAATGATTTACAATTGATTGGGAAGTTATGTTCCTGTACATTTCCAGAGAAACAAACAAATCCTGACAGCTTCATTTAAGAGATAAACTACTGTATAAAGAACAGCAGGGAGTGAACAAAATATAACATTCTCACTTTGTTCTAAAAAAAAAAAAGGCACAAAAACTCCTTCCAAAAACAAACCCCAAACCCAAGCACCTTTATATTGCAGAAAGGTGGCTTTTTCCTGACATTGAGTACTACAGCAAATGAAGCAGAACACTGGCCATTTACCTGATTCTAGCCAGCACATGCCGTGGTGTCATTTTTCAGGTAAGTAGCCCTGTACAAACCAGGGAGTTGAGGCTGATGAAAACTCCACTTGGTGATTTTTTTATAGCAGACCTGCTATGCAGATTTTTTTCCACTTGATACTAGGTCTGTGGAGGAAAGAAAAAACTTTAAAAACCCAATCTAAATTCAGCTGCAGGAGGTATCTTTTAATTGCACTTTGGATCAATAGAGAAGCAACCTAACACTTGCTCTTGGTTACTAGGCTGGGACTTGTACTTTTCCAGACTGCCTTTCATATGTTCCCTTTTCCTTATTTGCTCACACAATCTGGATTCTCCACAGTTTAAGTGCAGAACAAAGCATTCATATCACTAGAGTGCATACCAAATTACATATCTATGGCACCGATTTTGGTACCTTATCAGCAGCAACAGCATGTTCAGTAAGTAGTCCCAACATTTAAGTAGTTTAAAGTATTAGAAAAGTGTTAAAAATAGCAGTATAGCCTGTACTGAAGTGATAGGCATACAAGTACTTAAAGGGTGTCAAATAGCATTTTATTTCATTTCCCAGCTGTATAACATTAAGAGCAGGCCAAAAGGTAGACAGATATTAACAAAGCTCCATCCAGAGCTCTGCTTCAATCAAAGAAAATGTGTTATTGTAGCCCTCTTGTGTTCAGTTGGATTTACAGCTTTTAGATCCACAGCACCCTTCCTCGCCATCCCTGAAATCACAGCTCTGCATGCTTTAACCACACTGCCAGCCAGCTCTTTGCCCTATACACCTTCCCTCAGTTTCTTTCATGTTTTTCCTCTTTCCATCCTGGCTGTAAAATCAGACCATGCTCCTGAAACAGCAGAGTGCTCAGTTGATATATTCACAACATAAAACAAGAGAACTGCTGTTTTGGAGTAGGAGGACCAGGACACCCCTCATTGCCTGTGAGCATGCTTATATTCCCAGCTTTTCTCCTCCATAAAGGGACTGTAATGAACAAAATTCACAGCCTTATTTCTCTCTTTTAGTTAATGCCTGTGAGATTAAGTTTTAAACTGAGTGTCCCACAGACACCATTTAGACATGTGCAATTCTCTACCCTCATAAAAATCACTCTGATATTCTCCAAAACCTGTAAGTACTATTGACTGTCCTGTTTATTCCAGACCTTCGCTACCAATCACCAAGATTAAAAAATCTGTTGTCTACCACTCAAGTGGGGCACTGCACAGAGCTGTAGGAGGTAGTGGCTTTTACAGTATTCTTTTCCAACATGCAAAGGCTGTAGCAAACAGATGATCAAGTTATGACTGCACTGCTATGGGTGCTTTATGGGATGGAGTCTGATATCTGAGGGTAAGGTAACGGGTTGTTTCCTAAACAACGCTCACCTTCCGTGTCTGCTGCCTCGGTCATCCCTTATTCAGCCACTGCCAGACCAGCTCACTCTTACAGATCAGGAGGCCCAGGTCAGCAGGTCACTTGTACTTCAAGAGCTGCTATCACCTGTCTCAAGGAGCCAAACTCCAACATGGATGTGTTGCGGTGGAGGAAACCCAGAGGAGGAGCCACGAACTAGGAGAGAAAGAAGGAGAAATGAATGAGAATAGAGAAAAGACAAAGGACAGCACTAGAACAGAAAAACTGCTGTGACTTAGCAGCAATGCCATCAATGAGTACTGGCAAGCAGTGCCCTCTCTTGATCAGCAACATAGGGGTGGCACTTCAGCTCACAAGAACTTGAGTTTTGACAGATACATGCATGTAGATTTTGAGAGCAGCTGAAAGCATAAGGAAAACAGGCTTCAGAAAAAAGAATCAATATAGATAGTAAGAGGATTGGTATCTTTACTTGACAGCTATAGTAGCAAAGCTAGGAGCAAGTTAAACCCTATTTTGTGTCTTTTCTATAAACAAGCTAAAGAGGAGAAAAGCATGTACCTCCACAAGCCATATCTTTGTGATAAAAAGCAATTTAGGAATGAATGTACCAAATATTCTGCAGACAAGCCAGTCAATCTGACCAAAATTAATATAATACATCAAGAATAATTAAAAGAGTATGCTTCTACTTCTCTGTGTGAGCACAGATTATATACTAAAACTGGTGAGAGACCCTGGGTACACATGTGAGTTGGACAGCAATTAGTCACAGCAACTCTGAGCTGCCTGTATATCGGGGGGCAAAAGATTCCTGTATAGAAGCAGAAAGCAAAGTTTCTAATGACCCCATATATTTCAGTTTATTCTTTGATAAAATAGTTTATATTTAGTTTACTGAAAAAATTGTATAGATTTTTTTACTATTCTTTTGATGCTTTCTTCCATTGCTGAGGTGATAAAACCTACAACGCTGTCTTTGAATCTGTTCAATAATTAGCTTTTATGTGAGTTTAGGAGACCACATGGCTCCCTAGAGCCCATGCCCTTGCTTCATCCACAGGGACAAAAAATTTTGTAGGATCACTTGACAGCAGTCACTTAAAGAGATCCTTGAGAAGACTTGCCTTATGAGAATGAGAGAGGCAGAGAAAGCCTTCAAAGGCCACGTTGCAACTCACTGTAAGATGGTTAGTTGATGACAAAACAGTGTTTTAAATGTTAGGCTGGCAGAATTCATCATTTTCTGTAGTTTGATCATGGCATTTCACTGTAAGCCAGGCCATTCAGCATTGAGGACTTTGTCTATAGAGATAGAGCTTAGACAGCTTTCCTTCTGAAATATATAGTAGTAAATCTGATCAACAAAAGAATCTGTCCCTTTCCTTCAGTTACCATATGAAATCTCTTCAACGAGTAAAGCCAACACCACAAAAAGAACCCTCAGTTACTAAGATGTGGCACAGAGCTATCTGAAATTTAAATGAAGTTTTCAACATAAGGAACGTGAAAAGTGATCAACTATGCATTCTTCGTTAGAAAACCAATACATGCATTTTTATGCTTTCACTACAAGTGATTTGCAGTTCTCCAACATTTTGAAATTTAACTAGAGTTCATATGCCTTATTTAAAACATAAGATTGTCTACACAGACATCTAAATAGGCTTTTCTGACCACAGATCAGTAACAGCTTGATTTTTTCCAGTCAGTCTTTGTTGGAACTTGAAAACATGGGGTTTTGCCTTGAGAAAGGTAAGAAGCTTAAGCTGATTAAAATGAGACGTGTCTTTAAAAAAAAAAAATTTACAGTATTATATACTACACAAGCTACTCAGCCACCCTTCAAAAGGTGCCAAGTTTGTGAAACTCTTTCAGATTCCCTCTATGGCTCCTAAATACCCTAAGAAAGCAGTGAGCTACAAAGCCAGCCAGTGCTGTATTTGAGCCTGTGAAGGCTGTGAGCAACTGTGAGGGATAAGGATAGTTCCCAGCTTATCTCCATCTTTTCTCTGTGAGAAAGTATGAGACAAGTGTAACCACCTCCTGTGCCTTCAGTTTGTGTCCTCTGTATGTATCATATTGTAGACTCTGCTCACCCCATCCAGCAAAATTAACATTTCTTTAATACCTTAGACAGGTCCAAGGGATCTCAGGAAAGAGGTTAATCCTTGATACTCTGTAGGTAATCAGAGAAGAGGTCTACATGAGTTGGCAAAAAGAACACAGGATAAGGTTATACATCCCTAACTGGGACCATGCAGCAGTTGTTGTCTCTCAGCACACTAGTTCATCATGGGCCTTTAACTTGCTGCAGCTCATTCAGCTCCAATGCAACACACCTGACAAGCTCTCCCATCAACCCAGATTTTGGACATGGGTCACATAAAAGAGGAGCCAGAGCATACAATGGGGGTTGTACCTTCACAGGATGGAAGAAAAAATGGATCATCCAAATAGACTAAGTGAATATCAAGAAATATTTTATTGTACATGTAATCAAAGTTTAAAAAACAGACAGGAAGGAGCAAAGGACAGAATTATCTAGCATCTCTTATCTATGCAGGGTACAGAAATACAACTAGTAAAGAATTAGCACATATTAGTACCCTTTGCTCCCCTTCCCTGCTCCAGTGGAGGAGGTTACACAAGTGGGATGAGTAATGCTTCAAATCAAGGCTTCTCTGTAATTGCACACTTGAGCTAACAGAGTTGAATATGTTCAGTTTCAGGAGAGAGCGTGTGCCTTCAAAACACTTGTTTATAAACAAAACCATTCTCTCTTCAGTGGTTTGTAAGCATTACTCATTCAACACCAAGAGTATACTTAAAAGGCTAATGATTTAGTGGCCATATTTGTCTTGTTATATCTGAACTGACACTATCTTTAAGTATATCAGTTATAGAAAATAGATTCCTTAGGCGGTAGAGAATATATTATCTAGTGGCAAAAATGTAAAGAAGCAAAGGAAGTATTCACAGGAAAGGGAAGGGAAGGGGGAGCTGCATGCTGAGCAGGGGGTACCTTGACTAATCAGAACTAAAAAAGCTGAGGCTCTGGAGTACTAGCTGCAAAGGAGTTACACCTCAGTGTCATTGGTGTAAGTTTCAGAATGTCTGGTTTGAAAAATGTTACTCAATCCCCAAGTTTAATTCATGCCCTGGATCCTCCTTACCTACCACAGTAGGATTTTAAACAGTTCTAGCACTATAACTCAAGTTCTGCCTTACATGCTGCAAGGAAGAAGGCTTCCATTCTCCTCCAGAGTCAGATAGGAACAAGTCTGAAAGTGAATGCAGACCATTATCAGGACTTATTCACCCTTACAACCACTCAGTTTCCTTCCTGATTTAGAAGGGTGAAGGCCTTCAAAGCAGAAAGTTGCAACTGCTTTTCCAGTACAAGCTGATTTTCTCTCAATAGCTTAGAAATAAACCTTCCTAAAAAACCTAAGCTATACAGCATGTAGCAAGAGCTGAATCAAATCAGTGTGACAAGTCTAAATCCTGAACTGAAGGCAAGACAAGTTTTGGGATTCCCACATAAGATGGATTTGTTTATTCTTCAGTGGCCCAATAAGGCTAGCAAATAAAAACTCTTCACAAAACTTCCAGAGAAGGCCCATGGAAAGGCAGAAAAAGTAACAGTAACTAGCATATTCTGGATTCTAATGCCCTTTGGAGACTATCAGATTTTTGGCTTAAAGTGAATTATGACGTATTAACGATCTTAAATCTACTTCAGCCTACAGTATGGTCCAATGCAGATTATTAGCGTCAAGTTGCACACCTAGGACTTGAATTCACTAACACTCATAGCACCACTTGATTGTTGCTGTAAATAAAGACAGTCTAACCCTTAACTCTTCTGCCAGAAAGAGCCTATTACCTTTGATAATTGTGCAACACTACCTATTCCAGTCCAGCTGACCTACCCACATTTTCTGTCCTCACACATATTCATCTGTTTTGAGACAAATCTAAACAGCTCCAAGACTAAACTCTGTGACATATTACCTCAGGTTTCAAAGTTACAAAATAAATTCTCTTTACAGAGTTTAAATGCAGATATTCACTCAACTGTCAGACCAGCTAACTGACAATACCTCACTAGTTATTTCTTGTATGTGCCAACTGCACAGTCATAAAAGCCTCCCAGCTCTTCTTCATACTTCTCAGGTTTGAAACAGGAAAGGATCAATATAGATATCTCAGGATTAACAGACCTAGGGAGCAGGGAAAAAAGCAGTTGTTCTGTACTTCAGTAATTATTGCTCAGTATTTATCTGTTTTAAGCAACACCAAGACAGTATTTGAATTTATGCTGCACTTGAGCAGAGACAGGTTCCCTAACAGTAACGAAACATCAGCCTTTCCACAGGAAAAAATTTCTAAAATTTAGCTGGCCGTTTTTTCTTAGCCATTACCTTTAACAAGGCAGATTTGTTTAGGCTCCCATTTCTAACAGCATTATAGAGTCGTCAAAGTATATAGTTGATACCTACGGCCTCTCTTTAGAGTAGCTGGGCTGCACATGTTCACAAGAACTACAGAAGTTTATTAGCTATGCTAAGACACTACAGAAAGAGCCCAGGACTGTTTGAAGACTCATCAGCTACAGAACAGCTGTCCCACAAAAGTGATTTCACTAACAACTGAACTCGAAGACAAACACTACAAGAAAGCCAATACAGGAAATCTTGTGTGATCAAAAGGTTCTCTTACTATCTCATCTGAAGGAAGCTACCCATCACTTTGAAGTATCTCCTCCTTCCATAGGAATAACCAACATACCTTTTGGAGGCAGTTTAGACAAGTGACTGCTCAAAAGTATTTTGACAGAACTGCTTTTTGGAAGAGAGAATAAGTTATTTTACTATTCGCACAAATTGAATTTACTACGCTCATTTTACTCCGATAATGTTTTAGCTACAAGGTATCTATACAAGATATATCAGCAGAGATAGCACATTGTTAACACTACATATGTAAACTGAGAAACAACAGGTCCTTCCATCGAGTGTCATATTGCAGGTAAGCCATTTCAGGTTAGTCCGAGAGGCTGCGAAACCGCACTTCGGCACCAAGGAGATTCCTGGTGAGCCCAACAGAAAAGCCGTGCTCTACAAAGGTGACTGTCCATCCTGGAACAGCAGCAGGAGAAGAATCAAGCAACCAGTGTTGGCGGTAGTATTCTCGAGGAGGATTCCATTCGTTCGGTGCCTATTGCTGTACATAAGGTGCGTAAACCTGCCATGGACGAGATCAGCGCGAAGAGAAGCCGGTTGCAAGGCTGCAGCCAACTACTGGTGTCATGTCCCAGATCTGGAAGAGAATATTGTGGAGAATTATACAACATTATAAGACCTAACAGGGCTTTCTGTAAGAGGCATAGAAGCAAACGAAGATGTCTCTGGACGTAACAAATCCTGATAAACTATACTTGAGGAAAATGCCATAAAGGGTTATACCAGCCTGACAAACCAAAAGCCAAACTTGGGGGTCAAGGGAGTCTTCTTGTACTTCTTTGTAGAACTGTTCTAAGAAGTGCTATGCAGTTTGCTACAAACATGCTTACACAGAAACAAGCACAGACTGGGACAGTCTCAGTTCTGACATCCATGGCAGATGTTGAGCTTAATCACACCAAGATTCTATATCAATCTGAGCTCCATGTCACCGTCTCATAACAAGGGCTTTTAGTGGCCATGCTCCAAGCCATGGAGCTCAGAGTAAAGGCACCTGCACATTTCATCAGGTTTGTGTCTTTAAGGTTGCTGGCAGATTCTCCTGCCTGCTTTATTTGTCTAGAGACACAACAGTAATGAGTTCCAAGAGCTACGTTCCATACAGGGGAGTTAAGGTCAATTCATCATTCAGCTGCAGGAAAAACAGCCTGACATAAATACAGTTCTTGCTGCCCACAACAGATAGCTTTACTCTCTGTTAAATATCTCTAAGATATTAACTCTCTATTAAATATCTCTAAGAAATGCAGCAAAGAGATGCAGGAATACCTTCACAATCCGGTCGCTCCCACAGGTCACCATTAGCCCTCTGGAGATGTCCATGGACATGTGTGAAATGTTGTGTTTTCCTTCATGAAAGGTTGCCAAGGAAGTACGGCTGCACAGGAACAATTGGAATGAAAGCCAGTCATCAGATGAAGCTTCATGGCATCATTATAGCAGTGCAAAATAAACTTAAAAGAAAATTAAGTTGCTCAAGTACTAATAAATCAATCCTGGGAGCTGCAGTGCCATATTAAAGGGGACAGAATTAAATTAGCAAGTCATGGTAAGGCACTGCTTGTGTAGGTGTGACATTTCCTGGCCTTCTGCAGCCTGTTAATAATACTAGAGCAGAAGTGGGACACTGCATTAGCAGCTACTCCTACTCTTGGTTAATAAAGTCAAGCTCAGCTACATTTTTTCCTGCTGGCTACAGTGAGCCAACTAGGGCATAGCACCTCACTTTTCCAAAAAAACCCCAAACAAAAAGCCTCAACAACCAAAAAAAACCAACAACACCACAACAAAAAAACCCCAAACACCCTTAAAATTGTCACATCTGATTACTCTGTTCATATCAAGATAATAAGGGGTTTCTTCATTGCTAAGACAAGTTTAGCAAATGACAAGACAGCAAATGATGTTTAACCCAATTTGCTTGCATGGGGAAAATAATGTTGGGCTGTGAAGAATATCAGTATTAGTAGAAATAGTATTCAATAGTAGAAATAGTACAATAAGGGTACATGAACTAATGCATATACATCCTGGCAGCTGTGATGCATTGTCAGGCAGCCATTTAGCAATTTTAAGTGCAATCAATAGCTTTTAACTGAACAGAAATCTTGAGACAAATATGTTTCAAGTGTACATCTAGGCTCACAGAGAGGAAGAAACAAAGCTGACAGAAAAGCTGTAATACCACACCTGATCCAAATGAGCTTGCAGAGCCAGTTGGGGGACCTCTGCCACCACAGTGCTCTGAGTGCCCAAGGCAAAGGTGGCCTATTAGCAGAGAGTCAGCTTGGTGTGTTTTGTAGCACTGTGTGTGGATGTGGACCAAGCACAAGTGTTTCTGCACCCCAGCAGTATTACCTCAGTTTATTAGTCCTTAATACTCACTCTTCATCCTTGATGGACTCAAAACAGGAATCACAGACACGGACCTGGAACTCAAATCCCATGATTGGGTAACTG